TCAACTGTAGCCACAATACTTACGATGACATTGTGAATCTTGTTGTTGACAATCTTGAACCCTGCAGTGCAGAAGAGCATTAGACATCTTATTTAATGGCCACATAACTGGGGTCGGTTAGCAAATATTACTAAACCAAAGACTTTTCCTGAAAAAATCGCGATGCTGAGGGACTGATTTTGTTTTGTGCCGAGTGGCACAGAAGCAAAGACTTGGGTAACTCAACCACATTTAGGAAGTGATCTGATGAGATGGACTGGGAGGTGGTAATTAATTGTGGATTCATATTAAGATTTGGTATATATGAATGAACATAAAATGGCATTACTACTACTGATCACAATACTGGCACTCCTTTGTACAACATTAACTTCTGTTCTGAATGCAAACAGCTTTACGGATAAGAATAAAGTGCCAAAGAGCGGGATTTAATTAGGACAGTACCCACTGACCTTTGACATCTCCAAAACACTGGTGGACTCCCATAGACATTGCTTTGCGTCTGAAAGCATTCAGCAGAGTCCAGGGATCAAACCAGCCCTCATTTTCCAAGCCTGCAATGCAAGAACAAAGACACTCTATGGTATGATACGTTTCAGCATCTATGAGCTAAAGGCTCTTAAGCAAGCCAACAAGCTGGCAAAATCGCAAGCATGTGACCTTAGGTTCATGAAGTGGAAACAATGCTAAATGCATTTTCTTTTGACGTTTCCTCAATAGAGTTTGTGCAAACTATCAGGTGCATCATCTCAGGAGTACCACTGGGAGTGACTGTTCCCATGCAACACCTATGACAACGTAGTCTTCACATACCACGAATGCAAATACTGTTCCAGGGACAAAACGGCTGCAGCTTGAGAGGCATCTGGACTGATGGGTCACACATGATCAGAAAAGGCAGTGCCTGAATTCATGGGGCGTGGAGTTCCTACCTGCTCAAGAACAGACCACACACAGCACTAGGTAAATGGCAAATGCTGTGCAGAGGTGGCGGAACAGTATTGCAGTCTATGAATTAACAGGGTCAGAACCATATAACCACTGTTCTCCCAAAACCCTCAGCTCAGAGCAAGCGTAAATCAGACTTAGGCTGACTGGAATGAAGACCACAGGAGATATCGGTCCAGAAACCTGTACTGCAGCAATACTAGGTGCCTTTAGTGACAGGTTTGACATGAATGACCAGAAACAGGGGCTGGGCCACTGTGACCCATCCAGACAGCAGCTCAGTCAAGAAAGGTTGGGGGTTTTCGCACGTTTGCGTCATGGGTCACGGGCATCACCTTATGTAAAACAGGGCTCAACGCACCAAGCGTGTTGCAGAAGTGACATCACTCCACCCCCCCCGCAACTCAGACATTGTAGAGTTCTGCTGCAGCAGAGGCGCCACGTGGCTCTGGGCCCATGAGCCAATCCCAGCAAGGCCAGGGAGACCTGCACTCGTCTCACTTCCATGGTCTTTAGGACAGTGCGCGGCAACTTCTGAGAAGGGCAAAACTGAACTCTGAATTACCGTATGAAGCCAAGGCCACACCATCCGTGTTGATCCACGGAAATTTCTCCTTCAGCTGCGTTGGTGAGAACAGAGCAACTTTGGCTCCGACGTTCCTAAAAGGCAAACAGCCACATCGTTTCATACCGGCCATCCTGGCTTCAGACCGAAAACCTCATTATAGTCCCGTCGCGATGGAAATCGGCCCTGCAGTGCAAGAGGAATTTCTCCGGCTGCTTCGGAGGAGAGTGATTTTCCGACCACTTTCACTGGACTCTTTTTTAAACCAGTGTACTGACAAAGGACTCCCACAGAATGCCACCTGCAGCACTAAGGCAAATCACTTCAATCATTTTAGCACTTTCAGTAAAGGTAAAACCAAACTGAACATTTAGTTGGTAAGAACATTGATTTTTGTTACAACTTTACAGGACTTTGTAGACATGAGCACCTGAGATTCAACTGAACGGTTGGATGCCAACTTTTTTTAACTTAGGTGTAAAAATAAAACATATTCAAGAATAGTGCACTCTGACACAAAACATTGGGCCAATACACATATGAAAGCACTCTTTCCGCACGGAAGCCAAGGCAGACAGATGTTTCAGCATCTGGGAGGTTAAGAAGCCACTCTTCAAATCACCTCTGGAGAAGATGGTTCTCCTCCATCACTTCAGCTCCTTTCTCGCTTGCTAGGAACAGATACCCCGAGTGATTGAACTGCAGGTCAATTGGATCTTCATTCAACACATGAAGATGCTCCTGGAGAGTGAAAGGAAATTACCTTGGTTATCAAAATGTTACAGAGCACAAACGTTTTACCCCCATAACACATTCAACCAAAGCATAAAGGGAAGCTTCCTAAAATAAAAATGCTCAATTTTGACACAGTGCAGTGATAGCACAAATCACAAACTAAGATTTCCTTTGTATTCTGCTGTATTTTAATTCTTTTTAAGCAGTCTGCCTGTTAATAGAAGCTCCTATACCTCCTACAGCAAGGTACTCTGCTTCACTATACTGGAATATTGGATTGGAGGAAGTGGAGCCACCTACTGGTCTGCCAGTACCACTTGCAATAGCAATGTGCTCAAGTTTTGGAGACAGTTAAGAGACACTACTGGCAACTTGCTATAGCAGGGACAGTAAACCCTGATCCAGGAGAGCTGGCATGTCTACAGATATTAATTCTGTCTCATCAGCTCATTATCAACTTTACGAAAGCAATTAAATAATTTCTCCCAGCTCTCCGGGACAAGGACCAGCCAGCCTTGTGCTATAAGCTATACAAAATGTGGGCCTTTTCCTTGATTGTCAATTCCTGTCCCAACACTTTATCGAGGAACAGCTGGTTACCCCAATTCCCCATGCTCAACGAATGTACCTGGCAATTAATCCGAGTAACATGCTAGGAAGAAAAGGCATATGAACTCCTTATAGCCTTGGTCTGCTTGCTAACACCTTCCATGCTCTTACATTGATGTTCTTCAAGAACATGGAAGAGTCCAGAGAGAGGCGGATGTTTTCAAGCATGGAGAACTGCTGTCGGATCCCTCCAGCAGAGAGCACAGTGGAAGCTTGGGAATACTGCAACGGAAAAGGGAAAGGAAAGAAATGACTCCAAAATAAAAAAAAAAATTACAAGCCGAAATAGTAGTATTTTGTGGTCTGGACAATGCCAATACAGTTTGCAAATGAAGGAATTCCTTTTTCAATCAGTTTCGTGATACCAAACAGAAACAAAAATTGAGATTCCTAACTGAAACAGGACCCTAATATAATATAGTACAGTTTTGAGTTATTTATTAGATAACCCTGTCATAAGGTACACTGCTAGAGCTGTGCCTTGCTCCTTCCTCTGCAAAACCTTTTCAGGCTGTTATTTCCACACATTGGGTTCAGGAGATCACGATTACAGCACTTCTTTGAGCTTGAGACCCATGGAAAAAACCCCTTCAGCGTTACGGACGTCGTCTGCAGTCCGTGTCGGGTTTTGTAGTGGAGCCTATGCGATGGGGTAAGAGCTGGAGGAAACAGGAGGCGCGGTATGGGAAAACTGGGTAATGGTGCACAAAAGAATAGTGACAGTCCACGAGACAGCGAACCGGGGAGACAAAGAATGGCATCCAAATCCGAGCAGGTCCAAAGGCAGGTCAGGGCACAGTCCAAAAGTCCATTAACAATGAATCCATCCTCTGACGCGACTAGGGTTAAAATCCCCTGGTAGGGGGAAAACACACCGCAAAACGTGGAGATCCTGGGATAACAGGGGGAGATCCTCCAGACCCCAGGCTCAGACCCCGGGAGGTGTCGGGGATGAGGCCTATGCCCTCAGGAGACGGACGTAGGGTTTCCTGGTGCTAGGCGGCCTTCATGACACCCGTACCCTAATGTTGAGCCCCGAGGACTGGAGCTAGGCTTTAAATAACAGTAGACAACAGGCCAGACCTGGGGAACACGGCAACAATCCCGGAACTAATGACAGGAGTAGTGGGGCGCCCCCTGGGGGAGGAATGGCGGCCATGCTAATTAAAAGTGCCTCTGTAACCATTCGGCAGCGGCTGTGTTCCCACTCACCAGATTATCAGCCCCTCCGATGCAGGGGTCTGTACTGTACACAGACGACACGTTGGATATAAGGTATAACATTAACTGTGCATGCAAGTACGACTCGCCCACCCTAAGGCGAACACTGCAGCAATGTATAGGAAGCAGGATTATTAATATATAGATTAAGGCCATTTCTCTTCCACTTCTCCCCAGCCCGTCGGCCGGCACCCACCGTAGGGTCTTTCTCCACCACGACCACTTCAAACCTCTCCGGGAACTTCTGCTTCCTCTTCAGCCAGTAGGCCACGGACCAGCCCACCACCCCGCCGCCCACGATCACGACGTCGGCCCGCTCGGGAGGCGGGTCGGGGTTGATCTCCGGGGGGGTCCAGCCGCTGGTGGGGAGAACCGCGGCCGCTTTCTCCCGGAACGCCTTCAGCTGCGCCTCCAGATCTGCGCGGGAGGAACAGGACAGGACAGGGCTGTGCTCAGTGACGGTGACATTACTGAGCTGCGGTGTTTACTAGGGGGGGGGGCAGGTTCGAGTACCTGCTGCAGACACTGCCGCTCTACCAGTTGCTCCAGTCCCCCCAGCTGTCTAAGAGGGGATCAGCCCTGTGGGGTTGGGTGCATCCCCATCACAGTCTGGAGGCCCACCCAGGGGGGGGGGGGGGGGGGAATCACCTTTCATCTTTCGTCCTGGAAACCAGGTTCAAGTCTGAGCTAATCAGCACCAAGGAAATGACTGATTAATTCGTTGAGTCAAACATTAAGCAAAAGCACCGCTCCACAAAGCCCAGGACACGCAGTGGGACTGCAGAATCAAGACCGTGTCCCAGTGCTTTCGGGACGTCATGTCTGATATAACTGGGGACTAAAGGTCTGACTTCAAACAGCTGGGTCAGCATGCGTAGGCTGCAAAAGGGACAGGGAAAAGCTTATTCTGTATGGAAAGGAAAAGAGAGACAACAGTCACCGCTGTGGAGCAGGTGTGTGACGATGCTGTGTCTCTTTTTCTTTTCCTTTCAGCACAGAATAAACCTTTACCTGTCCCAGTGCAAACATGCACCTGGCGGGCAACTTGTCACTAGTTTGGATAAAATGTTTGCCCCAGTATTTTAAATAAAATGGCAACTGCTAATGAATGATCTCATTCTAACAGAAATCTCATTTTATGACACACGGCTATTTCAGTGAAAACTGAACTATGCATGAAATATTTGACCGCGATTCTCTTCACTGCTGGGTTTTAGCCCCTCATAGCTCAAAGATAAATTTGTTAGTAACCATACACTACAGTTAATAATCTAACAGTAAGCACATAAAACATGAAAAGGTATTGGTGTTTTTAGTAATAATAATGTATTGCCAGCAAAGATGATTTCTTGTTATCTTAGAAGCAAATGCATGGCGTACTTAGGGGGAAAAAACGAACAGAAGTCACCTTTAAAGAAGTCCTGTCGGGTCGTTTTGCCGGTGCTGAAGCCCCTGGGGCTGACAGGTGTCCGGAGGGCATGCTCAACGAACCTGCAGCCGTGGCTGACGGTGCCAGTCCTGGCTCTAGCGACCCGCAAACAACCGCTCCACGTTGCCATTTCTCACGCACAGGCTGGATAAGTAGTAAATGACTTGTACAGCTGTACTAGATATCGTATCCTAGCTAAACAGCCCCGAGTGAAGCAGAGGGGAGCCCTCTCATTGGTACCGTTGGTCGGCGGAGCCAGAAACACGTGATTTAAGATGTTAGAAGCCAACAGGCCAGACTCTTAAGGTTCATTCCCGGATCACGTTACAAGGTTGCTGTTGGTCGCGTCTTAATAGCGTAAAACCGAAGTCCCTGATCACATGACAAGAGGGTGTGTAAGTCCGGTGGGTACGGGCTTCACCGGAAACAAAACGTCATTTCCCTGCGTGCAACTGACGTGACGTGTCTGTAGCCGAGTTGCATAAGGCAGGGGGAAAAGTCCCTCGCTCTTTTTTTTTTTTTTTTACTTTCTTAAAACAAAATTTAATCTGATCAGGTCACCCGCTTTCCGCGGGGCACGGTGTTTTCGGCCAGTCTGAGCACGTATCTATTATTTATTGTTCTGTTGTGCCGTTCCGATCTTTGTTTTCCCTTCCCTGTGGTGTTATTGCTGAACTCGACTCCGCTGTGTGGCAAGATGTTGGATTTTTTCACCATCTTCAGCAAAGGAGGCATCGTGCTGTGGTGCTTCCAGGGGGCCGGCGCCAGCGGCTCCTTCACGGGGCCTGTCAATGCGCTCATCCGCTCCGTCATTCTGCAGGTAACGGCGACGCGGAGAGACGGACCCAGCGTGACAGCTGTCAGCGCCGGGGGAGCCGGCCGGCGGCGAGGTTCGCTTGGCTGCAGCGAGCTGGGATCGTTTAACGAGCCCCAGATAACATTGATTGCAAACAACAAATGCGCACCCTTTTCCTGGTCCTTTAAAAAGCAAGTTGTGCTTTTTCGCAATCGAGTCCTGTTTTTATGTTTTCCGTTCCTTATGGCTTTTCCAAGTGACAGCTTTATGGAGTTGCATGTCTGAACGCGCTTTGATTTATGCAAACAAAACAACAACAACTCATTATCATTAGTTTATCCCTTTTGCTGATTATGGTAGATGGGCGAGGTCTTCTGTAATTGGTAATTGTCGTCTCTTCTTAACGCCTTGCCTGAGCAGGGTCTTAAGATACCATAAATATTTTCCAGTGTGTTCGTGTCACAAAGATCGGGAAGAAAATGAGCTGTAATCGTAGTAAGCCTGCAAGCGCCTGTCGTAAGCAGTGCTTATAGCCGTGGCCCTTTACACAAAGAGTGGTAGGAGTGTGGAGCAAGCGGCGATGTCGAAGCTGACCTTGGCTGTTTTCAAGTAAAAGCTTCGATTCTTTACAAATGGGTGGCACTAGTGAACCCCAGCAAGATCCTCTCATTTGAAAACTTTATTGTGATCTCCTGTTCTGATGAGGTCGAGCAGAAACAAGAACCATGCGCTCTGGCACGCCACACCTGAACATAAACAGAACATAGAAGCGTGCTTTGTGCAGGTAGCGAGCCGTGTCGGCATGCGGAGGCTGCAAAGAGACGAGTAAAGGTTTATTCCGTGCTAGAAAGAAAGGAGACACGATGTTTCTTCAGGAAGGCTCCACAGCCGAAACATTGTGTTTCTTTTCTTCTCTTTTCAGCCTGGAATAAACCTTTACTTGTTCCTTTGAAGTATGCTTTGTGCCCCATAGTGTTGTGAAGCAATCTGAGCGCCAGACTGTGCTGTTGGGGAGAATCGGGTGTCGAGAGTGGACCATAATAAAACCTTCTAGTACTGATGCAGCCTTTTTTTTTTCTAGGAGCGCAGTGGGAACAATTCCTTCACCTACGATTCCTTAAGCCTCAAGTACAAACTGGACAATGAGTTTGAGCTGGTGTTCGTTGTAAGTAATTTAGTGTTGTACAAGTGGTTCATTTTAATTCTGAGGGAAAGGTTTTAAATCGGTTTAAAAATCTCCCCCTTTGATGCTTTTCTGGTCTTCACTGACAGGGAAACAATGTCTTTAATATTTAGACGGTTATTTTGGAATGTCTTGGCTGACAGACTGGCGTAGACTTGTATTTTTTTTAAAGAAAACCAAAACAGATCAATTCAGTACATAGACCTAAAGTCAGCACCTGCCACCCACCACCCCCGGCAGTGAATCGCAAAATCAATGGAGATCTTATTACCTCAAAGTCATTTTTCTCCTTGACGCAGCATGACGCTGTGGACATCTTTTTTTCTCTGATTGTTCGTAGTCCTTGTTCATCTGTTGCCCCTTTCTTGTGATCGGCTCTCAAACTCCGGGTGACCACCCTGCAGGACGCTGGTGGTAACTAATCTGAAAGAGAAACGTAGTGCGACACACCTGCACTCTGTGAATTCGAAGCATGAATCCCCCTGGGGGGTGTCCTCCATTTCCCAAGATCTTTCTGTCAGTAGATGCGATTGACAGGGGGCCAGAATGAGTTTCGGTAGCAGTTTCCCTCCTTTCGTTTGCTCGCTGTGACTCGTGCGTTCGGAGCTCCCGGGCTCCGAATCAGTACGCGCTGTTTGGTTGTGCGGTGCAGGTTGGGTTCCAGAAGATCCTGACGCTGACGTATGTGGACAAGCTCATAGACGACGTGCAGCTGCTGTTCCGGGACCGCTACAAGAACGAGCTGGAGCACAGAGGAGCCCTAATGCTGCTCAGCTACACTTTTGAGTTCGGGAGTGACTTCCTGCAGCTTCTTCGGTACGCCCATTGACAGGATCACTCGTCAGAGTCATTTATAGCGTTCAGATGTCCCGCATCCAGCCGTATAGTGTGTTAAGAATTTTGGAAAAACAAAATCGCGTTCTGATTTGAGTTCCTAGGCAGAGATGGGATGATAATTCATAATAATTTCATATACTTGTGTAGCCCTTTCCTGCACAATCCACTCAAAAGCGCTTTACAGGTAATGGGGACTCCCCTCTACCCCAATCGGTGTGTAGCAGTACTTGGATGATGAGACGGCAGCCAAAGTATGCCTGTACTCTCACCACACACCAGCTATCAGTGAGTGAGTGATGAAGCCAGTTCAGAGATGGGGGTTATTGGGAGGTCATGACTGGGAAAGGCGAAGGGGAAATCTGGCCAGGACGCCGGGGTAACACCCCTACTCTTTTCTGTGATCCTTCCGTTCCAGTAAAAGATACACCGATATGCTTTCTGTAACCTTTCAGAGCGCAGTTTTGATTTTGTTGTGCCAGCCTGGGCCAAACCCAGGCGCTGCCCCTCCTCTCCGGCTTTTCCCGACCCTGCCCCGACGCCATGATCTCTCTCTCTCTCTCGCAGGCAGGCGGAGGACAGCAGCAAGGCCCGCGCCCCTGTCGCCATGAAGACCTTCCAGGAGTCCCAGAAATCCCAGAAGACGGTCAAGTCCATGATCGAGACAAAGGGAGGGGACAAAGGAAAGGAGAACAGCAAGAAGAACAAAACGGCCAAAAAGGAAGGTGAGGCTCTCTGCTTGCGGAGGCTCGGCAGGGGTGGGCGTCGGGATCCGACGGCAGTTTTCATTCTGGGCATCTTGGTCCTATCACAGTAGGACACCCAGAGAAAAGGCTTTGTGCTGCTTTGGTCGCAGGCGACACTCTTGATTTCAGATCATTTCTGGAGGGCAGTTGTGACGGTTCACTTTGTGCTTCCTGCTGCTGCTGGATTCTTAGTTTCCTGCTTTTTAAAATGTCCTACGGGGGGGGGGGAGATCAGGAGCCTTCTGACAGCGGAGCTCTGGAATGCAAGAGGAAGGCATGAGCTCTGCAGCCCCGCGTTGGCAGGGGGAGAGACACCAGTTTTTTTTTAATTTTCCCCAGTTCATATTTTTATGAATCCAAAATATTAGAAAAAAAGGGTCTTTTAAAGGAATCTCACCAATCAGAAAGAATCACTGTTGACTGATGCATAGCTACAATGCTCTCGATCTCAAGCAAACAGCACTTTACTAATTAGAATACAATTAGCCACTAATACATTCAGTGCATTCTGTGTTCATGGGACCATGCTGGTGCACTTACTGCACATGCCAGTCCAGCCATTCAGAATGCTCAAAGCGCAATGCGCCATGCCAAGTATAAAGCACTTTCTAACTCCCTGATAACCGTCTCCCCAGCTCCTGCTCCCGCGGCGGAGACGGCGGGCGACTCGCCCAGGGGGGGGGCCCCCAAGAG